AAAGCTATTAGGGAGGAGAGGAGGTCAATCTCCAGCACCAAAGGCATCATGTCATGCGTCGGCATGGATAGAGTTGAGCGTGCCGGAGGAGGGAGATGTATGGATGGTTGCATAGATGCGAACATATATATGTATTTGTAGTGTTTTCGGCATTGCGGCAAGCAGCACGAAAGAGCCAACAGACGTCATATCGCCTCCTTTCCTTTTCCCACACCATTCAACACTGCTTTCGTGCTGCGACAAACTGCGACGGCATGCTGTCACTCATGCACCCAAGCCATAGGATAGGGCAAACTCCTTCTTGCTAGGGCCAGGCTATGGCAGTCAGTCATGGCGGCCAGGTGTCTCGCGCACGACGGTCAGGTTGATATTGAACGTAGACGAACGGGTGTAAATTCCGGCTTTCTTTGCGGCCAACAAACAGCACAATGAGACTGCAGACCACCTTGCCACACACATTTGCGTGCCATGACGACGGCGCGCTGTCACGCACTCAAGTCATGGGATTGGGCACACTCCTTTTCGGTAGGGTGACGCTATGGTAGTCATGGTGGCGCGGTGTCATGCAGGAGTGTCACGTTTGGCGCGGTCGCTGCCGCGGGTAGGTCGTGTACTGGGCAATCAAATATTTGCTGAGAAATTTGTCCGACATCAACGTCATCCACCTGTCAGGCCTGTCACAGGTGGTCAGAAAAATTTCAACACCAGCCCACAGCAGTAGTAGGTGTAGTGTCAAGTGTGTGGTGTTTACGCTCTGTTTCCGCCCGCCCGTGGACGCACACGTCTGACGACAGTTATATCTATCAGCTGTCGCTCGTTGTAGCGACAGCTATCCTATCTTTAACAGCGAACGAACGTAGCGTAGCGAACGGCATCCGTTTCGGTCTCTTGTTCGGTTAGGTTCCTAGGGGATACCAAGCCGGATTTTCACTTCGTATACACCATATGACTGTTGTGCACATGAAAACCCTACATGATGTTGGTACGTGGCAAACTGCCTCGACATCCTACTGCTGCTGTGACGAGTCGGTGTCCACTCGTCATGGTGGTGGCTGGTGCTTTCGTGTGTGTGAGTATTGTTTGCTCTATGCGCGTCTTATTGTTCTGTGTGCGCGACCCGTTGGTTCGACCCGTTGGTTTTGTTGTCCGTTGTGTGTCACGCATTTGTATGTGGCGTGTGCTGTTTGTGCGCTGCTTGCCGGGCTTACTGCCGGCATCTTCCCCTGCCTGATATCCTCCCGTGCCGGTACCGAAGGGGCCTGGCATGTGTCTGANCTGGTGCTTTCGTGTGTGTGAGTATTGTTTGCTCTATGCGCGTCTTATTGTTCTGTGTGCGCGACCCGTTGGTTCGACCCGTTGGTTTTGTTGTCCGTTGTGTGTCACGCATTTGTATGTGGCGTGTGCTGTTTGTGCGCTGCTTGCCGGGCTTACTGCCGGCATCTTCCCCTGCCTGATATCCTCCCGTGCCGGTACCGAAGGGGCCTGGCATGTGTCTGACATGTTCCTCCGCGGTCGGTCCGCAGTCGGCAGTCATGGATACGAAAGATGCCATGGATACGGGGTTGGGAGGTTCCGAGACGTTCCGAGGCTATTCGATGTTCTGCCGTGCGGTGACGTGGAGGTCAATTTCCGCTCGATTTCCGCCATCCGTATGTGGACACAAGTGGGTACAATTTGGACAAATGTGGGTCAAAATATAGACACAAGTGGGTACATGAAAAAATTAGTTGACGCCGGTGGGTGTACCCACTGCGATGTCGGACAGAAGTGGGCACTCTGTTGAGGCCTTGCGCGCGTCGGCGGGATTAGGGCGAAGGTGTGCCTGAAAGTGGGAAAAACTCGATGCCCGTGCTGTGCATGGTCCCTGGCTGTGTCGCCCAGGTGTCAGAATGGGGTTTTGAGTCGTTTGGGGGCCGCCTATGGAGTGCGCGCGCGCTGGATTTTCGAGTACAGTAGGGGGCCCTCTATAGTGCCGGTATGTGCTCAGAGAGCAAAGCGGCACTATACCGGGCACCGGCACTATTCAGAGTACAGAAAGACTTGATATTCCGGTGTGTGCGAGCCGAAAACACCGGCACTATACCGGCAGCCGGCACTATTCAACCGGCACTATATCGGGCCACCCACTGTACCCACTTTTGTCCGAGAATGGCGTGGGTGTACCCACTTATGTCCAGTTCCCTATATAAAAGGTAGTCTAGACTATTCGTTGTTCTCCTTGTTGGCAGTACATACCAAACATGATGAGCAGCCCGCCCGCCCAACCTCAGCTTTGAATAGCCGAGCCGACAGCCTGATCGACATGGCATAGTCGGTTGTAGCCTGACAACCACACGTCTTGCACACATTTCACACGTCCACGCATGTGGGTACGAAGTACTTACGGTAGTTAGGTTTTGTCGTTTTCGGGGTGTGTGGAAATTGGCGTTGCCCACGGCGCAATCCTAGGTGACACGTATACGTATGCAACATGCATGTGTACATCAATTGGATGTTTTGTAGCCTCGCTACTTGCTGTAGACTACAACAGTAATAGTTCAGAAGAGCGTATAAGACAAAGGTTTGATGAGAATACCTTGAGGCCCAGTTCGGTTCCAGAGTTCGAAGCAGTGCCATGGTTTGGCAATTGTGTGCGTGAGGTTGGTCGACCTGCCTGTGTCGGGTGCATCATCCAGCATCTGTCCGATATCTAGTCTAAGCCTCCATACAGGCCAGGACCTCGCACCTAGCACAGCAACCCTGACGGTGCAGAGCCGCGTCGCCTTGAAATTGATTGGTTGTTCGGATCCCAAGTTCCAAACGAAAACCAGAGACAGCTCACTCCGATGTGCAGCAATAGGAATTGCGCCCTATAGACTACAAGTACGTGCGTCACCGCCGGTACAGGGCAACGGTAGCAATGCATGTGCATACTAGTCTATATGGTGTTGCGGACTGATTTGCTGTCCCGAGCAAAGCGTGTCAGGAATACTGCGACGAGTATCACGCCAATCGCGTTGCGATAAACACCTACCTACACGAATGCCTTTGTGGCCATGAGGTTTCTGTTGGCAGGCCAACGTGGAGCGATCAACTTCGTAGCCGCGTATGCTCCAGCCGAACCTTGAACCGTTTACAGCAAGTGCGTGTTCTGGGGAAAACTTGACAGTCTCGTGCGGAGGATCCCTTCCAAAGAATGTGTGTATGTCCTACTGGACGTCAACGCGCGGACGGGAGATAGGTTGGACGGAGGGGACGGAAGGGTAATAGGAATGTACGGGCGTGATGAGCTCAACGACAATGGCATGCTACTGTTGAACTTCGCAACGGAAAACAGGCTAGCTCTCACGAACACGTTCTTTGAGACACGCAAGGGCGGAATATGGCACACATACAACGGTTTGTCGGGAAACGATTGCAAGCACGTTGACTACATCCTGACAAGGCAAGCACATCACGACCGAGTATCTAACGTGGTCGTCATCCCCCAGCCGGTTCGCCCAGTCAAAGCAGACCACAATATGGTAGTAGCCATCGTCAACCTCGGTGGCAGGCTTGCCCACAACCGTGCAGTCCGGACTAAACCGAAACAGAAGCAATCCAACCGACGGGAATTGCAGTTCGAAGCAGCACCATGTGCGGTGACTAATTGGTTCCTCCTCAAACTCGACACACGACTGGACGAGCGAACAACCACCGCCGCGGAATTGGCGACCGACTTTACCAATGCTCTCCTCGACGCAGC